TAAGCCAAATGACTTGAAAATTTATAGGCATGTACCTCACGTCATAGAGAACTCGTAAAAAACAATTCAGAAAAAAATATATATCTTTAGGCCCCGAAATAATTTTTGTCGGGGGCCGAACACCGTCGGGTTCGGACCCCGTACGGGACGTTGAACGCCCGAACGTACGGAGCTCCGCCCGGGGGCCTCCGTACGTACGGGCTGGTAACCTTGGACATAGTAATAATAATTTTAATAAAACAATGATGAAAATTGTAAAATAATAATTAAATAATATTAAAATAATATTAAAATAAATAAACTTAATGAATGAAAATAAATAAATAATAAACAAACGTAAAAAGTAAAGTTTCGTAAAAAAATGAAGGACACCTAAAGGAACTAAAAATAAAATAAAATACTATAAATGTATATTTTTTTTAAAAAAGTCCTCCCCGCTACACCCCCACTACAACCTACTGAATGCTATCCCACACCCCGGAAATAGAACACCACACCCCAACCATGCACAACGCAAACAATAGGCCACACACCTATGTAGCATACAAACAATATCTCACATACCGGTTATGGGTCAATACGACACACACACACACACACACACACACACACACACACACACATACAACATTTAAAATTAAAAATTAAAAAAAATAAAAGTAAAAGTAAAAGTAAAAGTATTTTTTTTTTTTAAATATGAATAAAAAATAAAAAATAAAATAATAGTATTTTTTAATAAATAAGAAATAATATTAATCAGAATAAAACTAAAACAATAGCAATAATAATAATAATAGCATTTTTTGAAAAAATAATAAATAATAATAACAAAACTCAGTAGAAGCCTAAAATAATAAATTATACACAAAACTTTCCTCCCTCCTAAGAAACTCCCTCACCAACACCCCTGACAAACCACGATGTATGCACAAGTAACAACAAACCAAATCTGATCATACACAACGGTATTAAAAAAAAAAACATATAAACGGAGATACAATCACGCAATTCCTTTGGTTATGGGCCTGGGTGAAACACTCAAGCAACACCTCGCACACCCAAAACCCATTTTCTTAATAAAAAGAGCTATGACTCACACAAAAAAAGAACTACGACTACCAAGCAACACGGCGACCGGGTCCGAAACGTGAAACACCACCTTCACGAATACACCACCTTCACGAATCGACACCACACAAAAAAACATAAAAGGACCTACCACATAGACACTCGAACAAAACGACACTGACAACCCGTGACAAAACCACTGTCACACTACCCCCACTACACAACAAACACCACCATAGCCACAACATGACACGGCAACACAAACAAGACAAAAGCATGCACCAGTAAAGTACCGTAATGCACCTCGCTCCCTCCGACCCTGACTGAAAGCACTCGCCCACGTCACACTAAGCCAAGTCCCCCGCAAGCTTACCCTCCTGGCACTAAATCTCGTTCATACAGCCCGAGTAACCACACTACACCCCCCACCCGCTACCTCCCTACACTCCATCCCCGCCATGACCATCTACAGGGCAAAACACGTATACCCCTCAATGCAATGGCAACCTCCGCTAACCCTCCCCTGCTGCGAATACCTCTTCCTCCTATGCCCACTACCACAAACCCGACATATCCCAATTACTATGTATTCAGCTGCATTCCACCTCTCTACCCTCCTCCTGCACTCAGCCTCCGACTCTGCTACGTGCAAAGATTACCTCATGACTACGCAGCAATGCTGCTGCTGCTCATCTGCATGCGCCACCCTCATACTACGCAACCAGGCGAGCTAACCGTCTGTCTGCGGCTGGCAAGGCACCTTCTTGGGCCGGCCACTCCGTGCTTCGACCAACGGAGCTCCTGATCCATCGTTGCGCCGAAGCTCGACAGCTATGGCAGCTATGGCAGCGACTGACTACGCCGCTTCTCCAAACATGACTCCTCAGGTATGGATCCTCTGTACCCTTACCCCCAATTGCCCATGCTGTGTGTACCCACGACCCCCTGACTAAAACTTCCTGCCACCCTCTGTGCTAATAGGAGCCTTGCTAACGACTAATCCCTCTGATGAGCTGCTATGGGTGCTAAGCGGCGAAAAGCGCGCTTCAAGGCGTGCACCCCCCCTATGGGTGGGCTCTTGCCCTTTCCTAACTTCTAACCCACTAACACTAATCTGCTAATCATTTGCTCCTCTCTGACCAAACTTGCCCTATCAACCCGCTAACTATAAGTGACAATGTCCCTGGCTGCTTCCATAGCCAACTGGGCTAGCTTATCACCCTCGAATGGGCTTTCTTTAGTTTGAGATGCGTCTTGTTTCCCATTTGATATGGGATAGCCGTGTTACGTACACAACCCCCCCACACCCACACCCACCCACCCAGACACCCACACCCACACCCACAC